GCCAAGCCTTTTTTTTTTTTTTTTGAGACAGAGTCTTGTTCTCTTGCCCAGGCTGGAGTGCAGTGGTATGCTCTGCGCTCACTACAACCCCCGCCTCCCTGGTTCAAGCAATTCTTCTGCCTCAGCCTCCTGAGTAGCTGGGACTACAGGCATGCACCACCATGCCCAGCTAATTTTTGTATTTTTAGTAGAGACAGGGGTTTCACCATGTTGGTCAGGCTGGTCTCCTACTCCTGACCTTGTGATCTCCCCGCCTCGGCCTCCCAAAGTGCTGGAATTACAGGCGTAAGCCACCATGCCTGGCCTCAATTTCTTATAGCCTGGAATGCCTACCTGTCCACTTTATCTCCAGATAGTTTTTCCTCAAGATAGAAATAACCTGAATGCCCTCTTATGATTAAAGTGATATACAATTTTTGCAAAAGTTCGAAAACTTGAGGGAGTCACGAAGAAAGTTTAAGTCACCTATCCATGGTGCCACCATCCAGATCGTCACTATTAATGTTTTCAAATTATTTTGTCTGCTCGTATGTGTGGTCATGTGATTTTTTGTTTTTTTCAGAGTGGGTTCATACTACTAATAGAAGTAGCTAACTTATTGAGCATGCACTTTGAGCCACTTATAGTTGGACGTTCTTTACAGATGTGATCTTGTTTAATCCACGTAACAACCCTATTAGACAGGTATGACTATATTTCATTAATTCTCTGATGCACTTTTTTCCACATTTTAACCTCTCTGAAATCAAAATGGGCTTTACAAAAATTCTTGGCAACTCATAGTTTCACTGATGGCATTTTTTTTTCTTTCCTAGTATATAAAGTTATAAGGGCCTTATAATCAGTGACATCTCAGACTCGATGAAATAGAGTATTATTCTAAGTTGACTACTGAGGAAATCAGGTCACTCGCCTCAAAGTTACACAGTTAAAAATGGTAGAGCTGGCCAGGCGCAGTGGCTCATGCCTGTAATCCCAGCACTTTGGGAGGCCAAGGCAGGTGGATCACCTGAGGTCAGGAGTTCAAGACCAGCCTGACCAACATGGAGAAACCCCATCTCTGCTAAAAATACAAAATTAGTCGTGGCGTATGCCTGTAATCCCAGCTACTCCAGAGGCTGAGGCAGGAGAATCGGTTGAACCTGGGAGGTGGAGGTTGCGGTGAGCCAAGATTGTGCCATTGCACTCCAGCCTGGGCAACAAGAGCAAAACTCCGTCTTAAAAAAAAAAAAAAAAAAATGGTAGAGCTGGGATTTCTAAATCACCTACTGATTTCCTTTGCCTACTTGTCAAAGAATGCTATCTTTTTAAAATTTATTTTAAACAACATTTCATATGTTCAGCATATTTTCTTTTTGTCGTCTATAAGTTGTTTTAGAAATATTTTTTCACAGTTAATCTATTTTGTGTGCTTTTAGATTCATCTAGTTTTCAGACATGTATTCAGATAAATCAACTCTTTTCTTAAATTGTTTTCCCTTTATGCTATGCCGGATGGTCTTTCTTACCACAAAAATAGGATAGTTACTTTTATATTTTCCAAAAATACTTTGTCTTTTATCCAAACAATCTAGTCTTTAAGGTATCTTCTGTGATAATCTGACCAGAGAATGTTGGCTATAAAATTCCAAATTTGGAGTGTTTATGTAGATTTTTTATGCGACTTTGGAGTAACATATTTTAAAGAGTGGCATGGTATTTGTAGGATGTGAAAATGAAGGTTTTTTTTTGTTTTTTTTTTTTTCTGGGTATGTCTGGATGTAGCACTTACTTCATTAATTCTGGCCAGTCCTCAAGAATTACTTTCACTCTAAGACTAAAGAAACATATTTTCTATTCTGAATTAATCTGTTTCTTTCTCTTTAACTTTTCTTCAGAATTCTGTAAGAATTTGTTGAGTTTCTCTTCCCATTCCTGTAGAGGCCAAAACCTTCCTAAGATTATCAGAAGATCACCACCCCTCCCCATCCATGTCCTGCACACCGGCGGGGAGGAAGCTTCAGTTCCCCTTGCCCTTCAGCCCTTCACTGTCTATTTCTCCCTGTGTCTTCTCTCCTGAAAATATTCATTGCCCTTTGTCCCTGCTAATGGGAGGCTGTGCACTGTGATGAAAGGGTAGAATCTTAGCCCATTTCTGCCATTTGCTAGCTCTGTGACCATGGGCTTCCTCATAATTTCAGTTTGGGGAATGTGATGATACTGGAAATTCACCTGCACTTACACTGGCGACCTGGGGTCCCCTAGCTCCTACCTTCTGGTCTCCCCAACATCCAGTGAAGTGCCCAGTTTCATTGCTTCTTTTCTTTTCCTGTTCTGTGAGCTTATGCACTAGGGCCTCACTCCACTGTCTTTTGCCTTGTGGGAGTAGATGCTACATTGAACTAATTGGGCTCCCTGGCTCCACTTTTACTCTTTGCCAATAAGATAGTCCAGTAATGTCACCTTTTAAATTTTGTTCAGTGAATGCCTGTTACTTTCAGGATAAATCTCCAGCTCTTTCACGTTCATTGTGTGTTTATTAAAAAGCACATTCTGTATTTAGCAGAGCACAAAGCCTAGCATTGGAGTAAAGTTGTGAGCAAAGATGATGTGTTTAGTCCTGGCAGGTATAACCTGCCATTCAAAACATTTCCTGTCCTGACTCTATGGAGTTCTCCAACATCACTTCTCTCTACTCCTCCCTCAGAACCTCTCATCAGCTATCCCAGTTAACTTTCTGCTCCTCAGAAACAGAGGGTGCAATTGGTCTCCATCTTCTGCTCTCTCTATTTGGAGTGCTGTTCAATCTGTTTTCTGCTGGTTGGAATTCTGTTCCTTTTCTAAGTCCCAGTTAATTTTCTACATGTTACGTGAAACTTTCCCCACACCCCTCAACCTAAATCAGTCACTATTTTCTTATTTCCTATAACAAGATTCTTTTAATGGGAGGCAACATATCCTGCTTAAAAACCCCTCAGTTAATTCTTTTCATCTGTGAGAACAAGTCTAAATGTCTCAGGATCTGATCCTTCTTTTCAGCCTCGTCTCTCCACTCCCTCTCTGACTTTACCCTAGTCGTGTTAAACTACTAGCTGTTCCCAGAATGCACAGTCTATCTCATGCCTCCATTGTACAAGAAACACAAGAAGGGCTTTTATCCATTACCACCCCTTTCTCTAGGTTCTACTGAACCTAGGTCAAGAACCAGCATCTGTGAAGCCTGCGTCAGTCTCGAGGTTGCTCTTGGTCTCAATTACTGTATCTCTTATAGTCCTTATCATACTATATTGTAACTGTCTTTTTTTTTTTGCTCTTGTTGCCCAGGCTGGAGTGCAATGGTGCAATCTCGGCTCACCTCAACCTCCGCCTCCCGGGTTGAAGTGATTCTCCTGCCTCAGCCTCCCAAGTAGCTGGGATTACAGGCCTGTGCCACCATGCCCAGCTAATTTTGTATTTTTTAGTAGAGACGGGGTTTCTCCATGTTGGTCAGGCTGGTCTCAAACTCCCGACCTCAGATGATCCGCCTGCTTTGGCCTCCCAAAGTGCTGGGATTACAGGCATAAGCCACCGCGCCTGGCCTGTAACTGTCTTTTTAAAACTGCTTTTATTAAATATTGAGTAGTAGAACATGTTTAACATATTAAGGGGGACTGAACACCCATGTTAAGAGGTAGAATGCTAATGTTAGAAATCCCATGTGTGCTTTGATCATCCCAATCCAAATCCCCTTCTTTAGCTGTCAGAGGTATCTGTTATTCTGAATTTTCTGTTTTGCATTTCCTTGTTTTTCTTTACAGTCTTAACCATATGTGTTTATT